AGTACCTGAAATATTTTAACCTAAAGATTGATTTTGATGAGAATGTTATTATGCAAAATAATGTGTTTTTATCCAAATTTCAATATACATTTTCTAAAGATTAACTCAATGCTTTGCAATATTGTGATAACTCAAAAAAATATTTTGGTGTTTTCAATAATGTTAAATATTGTAAAAAACATAATTATTGTTTAAAACTTTCAAGAAAATGTAATCATATAAAAAGTTACCTCTTTTAGATAGAACTATTGATCAATATAACATAAATGTCCCCTCTTGTTTTAAATCTAAACTCGTTTACCAACCAAACTTTCGACCCTTACCCTTGCCAAATCTAGAAGACAGCTATCTAAATAATGATGACAAACTTAAGAATAATTTCTACATTTTATTAAGTCGCTATAATGATATTTTTGGTGAAAACAAATATAATATTAGACCATTAAAAGTAGATCCCCCCAGGTTAAGACTCAATGATAAAACTCCTGTTTGTCTCAAACCTTATCGACATAATCCCAGGGACACCGAAATAATTAAGGAACAAATTAGGCAATTATTAAAATATGGGATTATTAGGCATGCTTCTTCTCCATATAGTTCGCCAGTAACTTTAGCACATAAAAAGGGAGAAAATGATAAATCTAGACTATGTATCGACTTTAGGAAATTGAATTCAAAACTGATAGGAGATAGTTTCCCAATTCCTTTAGTTGAAAATATCATCCAAAAGGTGCAAGGCTCAAAAGTATTCTCGCGCCTTGATATTCTAAGTGCATACTGGACTATTGGTTTACATAAAAAAGATCAACCTATTACTTGCTTTACCACCACAGAAGGTTCTTACCAATGGTGCAGATTACCATTTGGATTGCGGACAGCTCCTGCTATTTTTAACAGGATCCTCACTTCCATATTGCAGAAATATGAACTTAAAAATATAATATCTTACTTTGACGATATATTGGTTTTCTCAAAAGATACCGAATCCCATTTAGAACACCTTGGGGAAATATTTGCAATCCTACAAGAGGAAGGTATCCAACTTAGGAAAGATAAATGTTTGTTTTTATGCAAAAGATAAATTATTTGGGTTACGCGAAATTTTTGGAGATCAAATCTCTCCTTCAAGTACTAATGTTGGTATAATTAAATCTTTGCCCCCTCCTCGTGATGTTAGATGCTTAAGGTCATTTTTGGGCAGCGTTACGCATTATGCAAAATTTATAAATAATTTTAATAAGTTGAGAGCGCCTTTAAATGATCTATTGAAAAAAATATGTAAAATTTACGTGGAGTGAAGAGTGTCAGAGGAGTTTTAAAGCCCTTAAAGAAGCATTAGTTTCGAAACCAATACTCCAAATTTATAATCCATTTTTAGCTACACATATCTTTTGTGACGCTAGTATTGCAGGTTTAGGAGGCGTACTTAAACAGGAGTATCCTGATGGCTCCTTAAGACCCATAGCGTTTTATAGTAAGGCTTTAAGGGGAGCAGAATCCAAGTATACAACAACAGAACTTGAATTATTGGCGATATTAGAAACATGTAAAAGATATCATCCCTATATTTCAGGTCAACATGTGATAGTTCATACCGACCATAAGGCATTAATTTGGTTAAATAATTTCAAACATACTAACGGTAGATTATTCCGATGGGCGCTAAAATTATCAGAATATGATTTGGAATTTAAATATAATAAGGGATGTGAGAATCATGAAGCCGACATGTTGTCTCGACTGCCATATACCTGCTTCTTAACTGTTCAAAATATAGAACAAGAACAAAAATCATTACTTAAGCCTTCATCTAAACTATATTTCATTAAAAACGGTATTACTTATATTAGGCTAAAAAATAGAGATAGGATTATCGTACCACCCTCCTTACAACAACAATTGATAAGTAGGGCTCACGAAAGTTTAGGACACCCAGGCATAAGTTCAATGGGTAGAGTTATCTCAACACAATATTATTTCAAAGGAATGATAGGACAAATAAAAAATTATATTCTGAAATGTAAAATATGTCAGTCTGTAAAGAAGCCAACTACACCTTCGTATGGACTCATGGGTAATTTACCACTAGCTGAGAAACCATTTGATGTAGTTGCCCTTGACAGTATTTTAGGATTAGGGTATTATAACAGTACAAAGAATTGTCTTCATGTGATAGTTGATCATCACTCAAGATACATCTGGGCTTATCCTTCTAAGAGTACGTCTATAGCAACGTACATCAATATAATAAATCAGTTATTAAATGTAGGTAAACCAAAAATTATCGTTACTGATAGGCACCCCTCATTTGTGTCCAAAAGGTTTAACAAATTTATACAAGAAAAGGGCATAAAACACGTAATGACATCCCCTTCGCACCCACAATGTAATGGGCTTTTAGAAAGGGCGAATGCGACAATTATCTCAAAACTTAGACTTCACCATCAACAAAATCCCAGAATACCATGGCCCAAATTATTACAAAAGGCCTTAGAAGAATATCGGAGTATTCCTCATTCCATAACTAAAATGCCTCCCGTTTATTTGCTTTTTGGCATAACGCCATCATATATCAATAATTTAACAAGAGCATATCCACCCATAGAAGAGGCTAGGAGAATTGCAAATGGAAATACAGAAAAATTACATCTTAAATTGGCAAAAAGATATAATGAATCCCATAAAACGCCTAATCTAAAAATAGGGGATAATGTCCTTTATAAGATCCCTTACCAATCAGGTCAAGGTAAGCTTATGCCAGCTTTTTACCCAGAACCATACACCATAATTTCCATACCCTCACCACAAACCATAGAAATAGATAAGCCATGCCAACCCGAAAATAAGCATGCAACAATAGTTAATATTTCTAAAGTAAAGCTCTGGGATCCGGTAACTGAAGATAATACTGAACCACCATTCCCATTTCAGGAAAAAGAGGATTTGGAAGGATGCTTGGGTGTCGAACCTAACAAGCAAGCTTCCACCGATAGTCCTCAGGTTTTATTCTCTTCCATTAAAAAAATCCAGATCACCCCACAGAGCCCCTGGAGAAACTACTGCTGGTTTCGGTAGACACCCAAACTGAATCGGAACCAGTTGTATCCTGTGAGGTTTACCAAAGGTGGAAGAGGTCATATAAATTCCAAGAACTGGGGTACGGTTCATTGGGAAAATAACAAAAGTTGTCCTGGAATGGGATTCTACATGGAGAGTGTCTCCATAGACATGTAATGTCCAAATTTTAAAATATCATGTCTCCATAGACATGTAATGTCCAAATTTTAAAATATCATGTCTCCATAGACATGTAATGTCCAAATTTTAAAATATCATTTTTTTTTCTTCCTGCCTATTGTTAGTTAGGTTTTGTAGGGCCACCTTTTCCTGTGATTTTCCCCAACTAACAGGCTTTGGTCGCCTTTTACCTCTAACAATATGGTTTCTTGTGTAAATACAATTACTTGTGTAATATAAGTTTTGCATTTTTTTTTTTCTCTTTCGAAATGTATCTTATCCTTTACCTTCCATCCCCCCCAACCTCCGTTGAGAAAAAAATTAATAATTTTTTTTTTGTAGGGGGTAGTGATACATTTTGAATGATAGAATGTAATTTTTTTTTATTTTACTGAAGATTTAACTAAATGGAGTATGTAATTTTTTTTTTGTTTAAAAAGATTTGAAAAATAAAGAGATGATGATTGAGGTGGAGACAGCCACAAACGACTGCTAATTTTTTTTTTACACATCTATAGTAGAATTACATCATATATATATATATTTTTTTTTTTTTTCAAGATGGGGCATACTATTGAAATTTTCTATTGTTCAAGGAAATGCGTCATGCAAGTGACGCATTGAAGATTTCTTTGAAAATTGAATCAACTGTTTTGACAGAAGTTTTATCGCTTCATTCAGTATTTTGTCTATTCCTGTTGTTTTTTTTTTATTTGGCAAGGATGCGATAATTGTTTCCACCTCACTGGTATTAGTAGGTCTATGTCTTTCTCTGTAATTTTCTTTAAGTAGTCCTTTATTGCGACTTCGAGCTAGAAATTTGGTTTTGAAAAAACAAGGGTTTGAGGTAAATTGTTTTTCGTTACTGACTGCTAGGATTTCTACTGATTAATGTGAATTCAGTGTCATTCTATTATTTATTTTTGAATCAATTTCTTTTATACAGAACAGGAGAGAAGTTTAATTGCTCTTTTCATATGGTTTGTTCAGATACATTAAGATTTTCAATTTAGGAGTCCCAGAGGGTGTTGTCATTCTGTCTTTCACAGTTCTGGGAATTTCTCTGGCAATTGAGATAGACCCTCTTTGTCTTGAGGTTCACACAATGTCTTTTTTTTCCTAGGTTGTTTGCAGGAGAAAAATATTTGATTTCTGGTGGGTATCTTCTATTTAAGTCAGGGTTTTTATAGATATCCATTGTAAATTGTTGAAAATGCATTACTCGAGGGTAGAGAAGGCATTATTTATGTTTTAGGATGTGTGTGTGTGTTTAAAAGGATTTTTATCAAATTTCTTAATTTTGTATTTGAGAGTTCCCAGTCTGTGAAATTGCCAGTTTGAAGTCTTGTAGGACAACTAATACAGAGGGTGTTACATTTTTAAAATAGCGTTTTTGTTCTTTAATAAAAATAATTTATTATTGTTTGTACAACTTATTGTTTTCTATGTGTAAGCCTTGACGTTTAGCAACAGCCCTGCATCGATGTTTCCAGGAAATAAGGCTTCGTCTCAAAATATTTTAATCAAGACCATCACAACTTTCCAGAGACCCTCTAGCGTCTTCGGTTTCTAGATCTAAGAGCCGTTTTCAGCAAGCCGAAAGCACAAAATCAATAAGGGCCAAGTCTGGAGATTTTGCAGCGATTTTCTTGAAAGGGATGTACGAAATGCCGGTTTCATCCATCTTTTCGTCCAGGCATTGACATGTTGAACGTGATGTATGACTTGTGGCTTTATCCTGGTTCAGCCACACGGATCATATGTCCAGGGTAGCCTAGTGGGCATGGCATCTACCCGGAACACTGTGGGTTCGATTCCCATCCCTGAACACACGGATCTTAGTCACATGGATACAAAAACGGGACCTCATGGTTGAATGGTGGGTCTAAGACAGGTCTTTGGTAGATTTGCGAATTTATCTTGACATTTGGGTCCACCTTCCTTATTGGAAGTTTCCCATTGTAGCAGAAACCTTCAATGATCATGGAGCACTTTGAGAAACTCTCCTTTCATTGCTTGACTCAGTTCTGAAAGGTATTTATTTGAGAGTTAGCGTAGTAAAAATGGCACGGGGTTAGTTGCTATCATTGAGGTAAACCCATGCCTCGTCCAGTGTAACAACATTTTTCCAATTTCCACCTGCCAGGTACTTTTCATAAAGGGCCCTGCTGCAGGTTTTTCGTTCCTTAATATGGTGCGGCTTGAGGACAAACTTTCACCTTTCTGCGTATTTTTAAGCCAATTATTTTCCTAATAATAAGGCTAACGGTAGAAGGTAGTGCATTGGTTTTTGTGGAAAAGTTCCTTTGAGAAGGTGGATTCTTTCTGACAACCATTTCCTTTATTTTTCTTTCGGTTGGAGTTGAAGGTCTCTTCAGGCACCTTTTTCAGGTACCTTTTTTGATTAATTTCATATGTATCAAAATTTTATTTGTTTTTCTTTATTATGTAACTGATTGTGAACTTAGTAATTTCAATATTCTTTTCTTTCATAATTTAATAATTTGGGTAAACAAGTATTTCTTCTTGGAAGGTCCGAAAACGTAACCTTTTACAAAATCACTTATAATTTTAGTCATTTCGAATATTTAGAAATAGTTTCTTGATTAAATATATATCAACTAGACGAATGGCCCGGGCAACGCCCGGGTTTTACCCGAGTGCGTATATATTTTAAAAACGTTTTAATTCAAATACTATTTGTTACAATTATAAATTGGCGCCATGGATGTTACTCTTGTGAAACGTCCCGTTCCAAACTGTGTGTTTTTAAAATGTTTTAATTAAAATACTATTCGTTACAATTATAAATTGGCGCCGTGGATGTCTTTCTTGTGAAACGCCCCGCCCCAAACTGTGTGTGTCTTGAAAATATAAAAATAAAAATGTGAATTTTCATAAAGATTTCATCATGTCGATTTTTTTTTTGCATTTCACCTACTAAATCGATAGAGATAATTACATTTGCAACATGAACTTAGGTATATTGACTAAATAGAAAACTGCATAGTAATAAAGATCATTTTTTAAAGGCACCATATCGTTTTTTTTTCAATAAAATCGAAACAAAAATTAACGATAAATAACGATAATTGCCTTAAAAAGAAATTGCCTTAAAAAAAAGAAACATTCGCGGTGATTTTGTCTTGCATTCGTTTATACAATTATTATATACGAATGACCCGGGCGCAACGCCCGGGTTTTACCCGATTAAATGCTTTTATTCAAATACTATTCGTTACAATTATAAATTGGCGCCGTGGATGTCATTCTTGTATAATATATAAATGAGTTTTAAAAATTGTAAAAAAAAAAAAAAATGCATCCCCCGGGAATCGAACCCGGGCCGCCCGCGTGGCAGGCGAGCATTCTACCACTGAACCACCGATGGTTATGAAAAATCCCATCCGTGAGCTTCAAACAGACAAACAGACAGAATAAGGCAAATATATAAGTAGATGCTTTTTTTTTCGAATAAATAAAACATCACGCGAATCGCACGCTTTTTTCGCGAGTTACAGCATTTCAAAATCGTTATATCAAAAATGGAACACCCTCTCTATAAAAAGATGGTCAGATGTCAATTCATATAGTACCTTAGAAGTGAATGTTCTTGGTTAGATTCCTACGAGGTGTGTTCAAAAAGTATTGCGACTTTTGTGTTTTTCAAAAATTATTTATTTATTCATGAATACCTATTTTGTTTCCTTCAAAGTAATCCCCATGAGATATTATACACTTGTGCCAACGTTTTTCCAATCTTTGAAGCACTTCAAAAAATCATTTAAAAAAAATCTTTTTCAGCTCCTCCTTTGATGCCGTCTTTATCTCGTCAAGCGTAGCGTAACGTCGTTCTTTCATGGGCCTCTTCAGTTTAGGAAACAAGAAAAAGTCACAGGGGTCCAGATCTGGGGAATACGGTGGCTGCGGCATCATTAGTGTGTTGTTTTTGGCCAAAAGGTCGCGTACAAGCAACGATGTGTGAGCAGGGGCGTTATCGTGGTGCAAACGCCAATTTTTGTTCTTCCACAAATCCGGGAGTTTCTGGCGGATTGCTTCGCGCAAATTGCGCATAACTTGCAGGTAATATTCCTTATTAACCGTTCTACCCTGTGGCAAGAACTCATGATGCACTACGCCCCTGCAATTGAAGAAAACTGTCAGCAAAACTTTCACATTCGACTGAACTGGGCGCGCTTTTTTTCGATCTTGGTTCGTGCGGCAGTTTCCATTGAGATGATTGAGCTTTGGTTTCCACGTCATAACCATAAACCCACGCCTCGTCACCAGTTATGACCCTCTGGAGCAAATTTGGGTCGTCGCGGACAGAGTCCAACATCTCATTAGCAATGTTCATGCGATGCTGTTTTTAGTCGCAATTGAGCAATTTTGGTACGAATTTCGCGGCGAACCGTCTCATGCCCAAATCATTGAAAAAAATCGAATGGCACGAGCCAATCGATATGTTTTGGTCCTCAGCAACTTCTCTAACGGTGATTCGACGATTGACCAATATCATTTTCTCCACTTCATTAATTTTTTCGTCTGTTGTTGAAGTGCTCGGGCGTCCGGCACGCTCTTCGTTGTTCACATCTTCTCGGCCTTCTGAGAACATTTTGTACCACCGATAAACGTTGCTTCGGTCCAAGGTAGCTTCTCCGTATGCCACAGTCAACATACGGAATGCATCCGCGCACTTAATTTCGTTTTTCACACAAAATTTGATACAGGTTCTTTGATTCATTTTTTAAATAGGTAAAAATCGAAGACGATCCAAAACACCTGCAAGCAAAGCAGCTGTCAACAATTAAGTGAACATTCAAAATGGCCGAGCTTGTCGGCATAAGTGAGATACATGAGTACCAACCTAAAGCCACAAAAAGATCGAAATTCGAATATACGTAACCCGCGAAAATTCAAAAGTCGCGATACTTTTTGAACACACCTCGTATGTATAGCAATATCGAAGATGTCAGGTGGGAAGTAATGGGTGGGTTCGTCGGGATAACTTACGACATGATCCATGTTTTCAATGACATTTAGGAGATAGTTTTCATTTAGATTAGTACTGCATGAGCCTAAGCAGTATGGTTTCAATTTAGTTGAAAAAAAAAGTGTTCAATTCCATCTTCGTTTATATTTATGTTTGGTATTTTATAGGCTGAATAAATGATAATATCAGAGTTATTAATGCTCTTTATGGATATTCCGGTTATTTCCGAACTGAAGGTGCTGGTTTTAATGGGTAGAAAGTTACACGTTTTGTGGATGAAGATGTCTGTTCTTCCTCCTGGTCCTGAAAGTATATTTTTTGGATTGTTTTGTAATTGGGAATTGTGTTGTAATTGTAATTCTATGACATGGCTCAAGCCAAGTTTCATAGATAAGGGCTATGTATACATGATACTCATTTAGAAATTCTGTAAATAAGGTGTTCTTATTGCGCAAGCTAGAACATTCCAGTGAATATTTTGGAGTTTAATGAATATTTGGAAATTTCATTGTAGCAAGAACGTTCTTAAATCTATATATATATATACTAGCGGATGTACCCGGCTTCGCCCGGGTTTTACCCTAGTGAAAGTTTACCTAACGAACATTTGTTAAAACAATTCTAGAAAACATCCAATCCCTACTGAATCTATACTTGGCAAGATAACTTTATGTTTGATTATCTGCTCCACCTAGCTGTACCCGTTCAAACGTTGCTGTCTTTGAACAAAAAGGCAGTTTTAATACCTAAATAATAATTTATTAATGATCAAATGTATACAATACATCAAAATGAAAATTAACAATAAAATTATCCCTACATAAATATCATTTAAATATAACATATGTAAAAAATAATAAATATATTTTGATAATTTGAAACTCGTAAATTTAAATCTCTCGATAAAGTGAACATTTTTTCCCGGTCCCTTGAAAAATACTCGATAAGTTGAATAAAATCAATTTTTGCACGAATCATAATTAAGCTTTTCTGAAAGTAAATTGGAAGGTCTATCACGCGAGTTTCGTGAGGCCAAAGTTCTTTCCCTGACATTCAGAATCCTGGCCGTATGTTCTTGTGGGGTTTCTGCCGCTCTCGAAGTACTGACCCTGTTTCTATTTTGCCGAAGCCTGTTCTCACGCTGTCCCACGGATTCCGCCGCTCTTGAGGTACTGGCCCTGTCTCTATCTTGTTGAAGCCTGTTCTCACGCTGTCCCACGAATTCCGCCGCTCTCGAAGTACTGGCCCTTTCTCGATTAATCCTAAGACGATGCTCACGTTGCACAGCAGTCTCAGCACTTCGCACATTTCTTTTTTACTCACTTCTGGTAGGACTTTTCCAATAGGTTTGCGTTTCTCGGGAGGCATCTCAGATCTCTAAAAGCTAAACAAAAGAAAAGAGTATAAAACAGTAATAAAAATAGGCAAAGTAGAGAAAAAATATGTTATTTAGAAGCTAAACAAAAGTAAAGAGTATAAAGCAGCCAATGGGCACGCGCCGCTGTCAGATCCCCACGCGTTCTAGAGGGCGCTGTTTGTGAGCTAAGTTGAATAATTTGAATATATAGTTTTAATAATTGATTTATATATTTTTTAAAATAGCCTATCGTCTTCCCCGTATTCTTTTACCTATGTATGGAAATTTTGGTTTGAATTAGTGAACTACTGCGAATTTGTATACCGGACATACAGACAAACAGACATACAAACATTCATTTTTATATATATAGATATAGATAGATATATTTTTCTAATATTTTTTGTTTACTAAAAATTACAAAAAAAAATCTTATATATTTAAATTTTTTATACTACTAATAAAATAGAAATTTTCAA